TTATGGGACCCCAAAATGGTACCCCTTATGTGGCTAACCCGCATTTTCAGAATTATTTGTATCGCAGAATGTAACCCTAAACCCCAAACCCTAAACCCTAAACCCAGAATGATTATTGTAGTTATTTGTATCGCTTGTGTGGGTTGGTTCTGTGCCAGGTCCCGGATGAAGCGACAGTGGCGCTGCTTTGCTGCAAGGAGTGCTGCAGTTCTTGTGGTAGTAGATTCTTTACTGCTGGGCAATTTGAAGCGACCTCACCCGACCTCACCCTAAATGGTGGTTTGTATAGGGAATAGCACCAAAATGGCCTTAAATTGGGAATTGAACTTATTCTAAATTGTTCCCTAGATCCTAAGCTTCTCACTATGATCATCACGAATACTCTGGGAGGGGGGAGGGCTTTTCATCTCTTACTGAGAATCGCCGAGGTTCCAACATGTTGCTGGACATCTTCCCATGCTGTTAACGCATGAAACAGGACAGGACATTGAATTCCATGTGTTTTCATGTCATGGTTCTTGGAAACTGGAAATAAAAGCTCCAACGGACTTTGATCCAGGTTTCTGTAAGCGGCCCTTTGATAAAAATATCCCCTTAGATTAGATGCTTCTTATGGTGGCCCGAATGCATATTCATATATACAGGGACACAAAGTCAATGTTCTGGGGGTGTTCACTTTCACAGAGACGGGACAGATGGCAGTCGCTGACACCATAGGGATACTCAAGCTGTTAGTTTGGTCCAGGATACCTGTACTGGCCGGCATGAAGCAGGGACTGAGCTCATCATAAGAAACATCTGGGCCAATAGTATAGGTCTTCCAGTATAGAGACGTCGAAGGACTTCTCAAGTTTTCAGCCTGGCCAGGGAAATGGAGTCATTCTCAAGGTTCGCGTCTCTCGTTGTATTATTTATGTCATGCATTTACGTTTCCCTGGTGCTTGGTTAGTGCCAGAAGGGGAATTCGGCTGCCCCAAGCCCTAAAATGAGCCCCATGGCTATCATCGGACTGTCATGGTATGTGTTAGCGTTTGGAGCTACCAAAATCATGTTCTTACAATTGGGAGTGAGACGATGGATTCTGGGAATTTGCTTCTAGAGATACTTTTCGACTACAACCCACACACTTGGGAGGAATTTCAAAGTAGGTTTTTCTATGAGGGTTCCCAAAACCATCCAAAAGGAGTAAAGGGTCCGTATTTTGGTGTTCTACTTCTAGATCCTCCTTGGGGTCCGGGAAAGCGCCAAATAAGCCTAAACCCCACAATCTAAAATCTGGGCCTTGAACTCTAAAGTCTTAACGCTTAACTGAACCCTAAACTCTAAACCCTAAATAGTAGTTTCCATTTTCTTTTCCGTTATCCCAATATAACCCCAAATAACCCCAATATGGGTGATCTCAGGTCTGCCACTCGCGCACAGCTGCGCGAGGGGGCCACAGGTGTTGAGGCTGGCAGGTCTTGGAACTTCGTGCGGGATACAGTGGGACATGTTGATCTACAGGGGGTGATAGGGATTTCAAGAGAAGGAGAGAGAGAGAGCGAGAGAGAGAGAGAGAGAGAGAGATATATATATATTTTTTTATATAGAGGGATATATGCTCAGGGTCGAATAATTTGAGTTTAGGATTCAGGGTTTAGAGCTCTCAGCGTAGGGTCTAGGACAAGGATATGTGGGTTTATATGGAGTGTAGGGGCCCTGATCATTAGAAATAGTATCGAATGGAGAAGATGGAAACTGGAGCTCAGCGCGGAATCAGGAAATGGATCCTTCTAACAGGCCCCTGTGTCCTCGACAAGGCTTCCTATAATCCGTTCTTGCAGTACCTGCTAAGCACCACTCTAGCATTAAAGAATCCAGTGACCGGCGAATATGAAGATTGCTGGAAGTCACCTTGCATGGTATGCAGATGTTACCATGAAGAAGTTGTTAGTGATTTTGGAAAACGCAAAGTTGGCAAGGAGTAAGTAGAATGTTGGGGTGCAAGAGCACGTGACACTATTTTTTGGATTAGCTTCGAACATGCGAAGGGTCATACACTTATTGCTTACAATGCTTTTTGACCTGGTTCGAGGGCATGCAGAGGAGGAACTGTTGGCACATTCTAATGACCATCACACTTCCTTGTACTTGGCAGAGTATAGGTACGATTATCGGAGGTTATCTTGTCAATGCCTAAGCAAGAGACCGTCTAAGGCTTTGTTCCTTTTCGGGGAGTCCTTTAGGGTTCTGAGATATTGACGGTACCCCGAGGTTACCAAAGAGATGACCATCTTGTTGCATAAATGGTTGGTTTACATGGATACACCGTCATTGTAGACCCGTGGCAAAATCTGAAAGTTGGATCCCCAAGCATTAGAACAAGGCCCTAAGAATACAGATCCCAAGAGACTATCATCCCATTTGCAGGGACTTCCAAAAAGCTTCGTCGTGCATGGATACTTGAGCCATTACAGAGTGCGAATTTGGTTGCAGGATGTTCTGAATCGCGTCCGCTACGATATGCTGGCTTCTTGGCTCACAACAGTTCCCACATGGGAGCATGGAACCCCGTGTGGATATATAGGGTTACATAGGTATAGGAATAGTACAACAGTCCTGGAAAAGCCATTGGAACAGAAAATGGAAAGTGAAGAGCAAACTGGGTGTATTTGGTGGCTTATGATTGGGGATTGGGGTGTCCGTGAGCTAAGGACTCTTCTTGGCATCCCCTTACAGGGGATTACAATGTATTGGGGTCATTTAATTACTTGGGGTACCTCACTTCGTAGAAGCTAACACATAAAACCAAGCAAAGTGTCGGACCCTCAATTTGCAGGCCGCACAAAAGATGCACAAGAAAAATGACACTTGGAGCATCACGCAACCCCAAGTAGATATCAACAAGCACAGGATGTCGGGGGTGTCATGTACCCCCAAGTATACACATACATATATACATATATATAAATATACACAGACGTACGCACACGTTTGTACAGCTATTGAGAATGAGAGCAGCAACAATAATAGCGATGCTGACAATGTGACGAAAACCACTATGCCGCCTCTAAGCCCTAATTCCTAACCCCAAAACTCAAATCCCTAAACCCTAAACCCTAAACCCCAAACCCGAATCTCTAAACCCTAAACCCAAACCCCTACACCCAAAACCTTAATTCCTAATCCCCTGAACGCCAAACCCTAATCCCTGAACCCAAGGAGTCCAAGGAGTCTGGCAGCTTCACAGTGCTGGTGGAGAATGCTGATCTACCGGATTCTTGGGCTTAGCTGACAACCAAATATACATATATATATATACATATGTATACACAACATGTGTATATATACATACATATATATATATACATATATTACATGTGTACATGTATAGTTATATATATACATATATAAGAATGTATATGGGTACAAGAATATACCTTCCCCCCGCATTTCGTGCAATTTCGTTTATACAACATGTCTTCCATAATACAATGTGCTTTGTAACTAAGATGTTGTGTGTTTCGAGACATGTCGGGGGGTTGTTTCGAAACAGATGGGGTCGACCATTGAACCAATACACCATTTAACCAATGGTGTTCCCCATATGGAAAACCAGTGAACCACTGAAACGTGAAACCATTAAACCATCAAGCCAATGGTTTTCCCATATGGAAACCCATAAACGGTTGAATGGTTCAATGGTTCACTGGGTTTCCAGATTAGGGAAACCATTGGTTTCATGGTTCAATGGTTCACTGGATTTCCATATCGGGAAAACCATTGGTTTAATAGTTTCATGGTCCGATGGTTCACTGGAGTTCCATATGACCATCGGTTCAATGATTTCATGGGTCAATGGTTCAGTGGATTAGCAGTCCAGTGGTATTTCCACTTGTTTCGAAACAGGCCCTGTGTTTGAAAACACACGTTCAAGTCTTCTAAGTCAAGCAGATATATCTTACAGGAATTTACTCATAGCTATTCTCAGGTTCTAGAAATGACATGCACGAAATTCAGTCAGGCAAGCGAAGTAGACTTTCCATATGGAAATCTAGGATTCGCTGGAATACCTTTAAATTATACAACTATCCTTCCCACATAACCCAAGTGGATGTATGGTATTCGGATTTCCGGTTTAGCGGCGTACCTCAACCCTGCGTGTTTACTTCTTCTTATGTGTATAGTATTTATGTTTGTGTCGGATGGGTCAGGGCATCCTCAAACCTAGAAAGCACGGCCATTCATGCTTACCACAGATCTAGAGTTCGTCTTGTTTTCGCAGTATTCCAAACGGTGCCTTTCGTTCTAGAACGGACAGAACGGAACCCATGTTCTAGAGCAAACTTCTTGTCGAACTTATAAATTTTCTTGGCTAGCGTACAATATCAAGAAGGCTGCTCTTGTATGTTTTCTTGAAGGGGAAGAGATGTACTTTCTGAAGAACGTAGGCTTGATTATACAAAGCGCCTTCTACATAGCACATTGTGTAAAATAAGGAGCATTTCTTGAAATGCAACAACAGGTGTCTTAATTAAAAGCACGGAGCTCAAGCTCCAGCTGATTCTATTGAATATCTATGGGATGAAAAGACACAATTGCAAGGAACTGGAGCTTCCACTTCTCTCAAGTCAATTGCATATCACTTTGATCTTCATTGTGGAGAAAGGGCTATGATTCCGTTCGTAAGACCTGAGGTTTAGTTCTACCGGTAGCCTACTTAGTGAGTTGCTGCTGGGCTCCTGTTCTCCTCATTTCCTATGTAGAAATTCCTTACCATATGTGCTGTAAATTTAGATACAAGTTCTCAAGTCTTGGGGTTTATAAGCCCCTCCTCAAGAATATTGTTATGGTCTCCAATGGATGTAATATGCTGAATGTTTTGTTACTTCCTGTTGAAGTTTGAGACACATTTACTGACGAATTATGTAGAGAAAAGGAGAAGCGCAAGACGTGAGACTTCCTCTTTGAGTTTGATTATATGTAATATGGGTTGTGGTGTTATATGTAGAATACAAGGCGAGCAAAGGCCCAGGATCTATGACTTCAAATTTGCAGCTGAATGCAGTAAAGGATTTATATGGTGGATAACAGTAAAAGAAACCTCGGATTTGAGAATTCCGTTGTAGATGTGAACCTTTCTTTTCAACAACTCAGAACTCCCGACTTCCTCGAAAACATGAAGCATATTACAGCATCTTAAATAAGGGAATAATGTAAAAGAACATGGGGAGCCCGTAAGCAGAGAATGCTCCTGCAAATTCGTAACCAATTTAGTAAGGTTTGTAAACTTGGACCACATGCATTATCTCTCGGAAGCCATTAGAGCTGATACGTACTAGTATCCCTATGAAGGAAAATGCTGAACGTGTGGATATGGCTTTGATTCTCGCAAAAATCCTAACTTTCAGACTGTTTGGATATCAAAACCAGGGAGAAGAAGCACACTAAATATTCAAATTTCCCAGGAGTATCTTACTTCACCTATAGAACCAAGCCTCTGCTTGTGCGAACGGAATAGAAAACTCATTTCTCTACATAAGAAAGATACAATAGAGATACAGCTGATTTGAGACAAGTGGGAGCTCCAGTTCCTTGCAGGTGTTTGTTTTGATCTGATAGGAATTCAACAGAACCAACTGGAGCTGGAGCTCTCCTCATGTGGAGAAGGTTTGGTGCTTGTAATGAAGACACATGTTTTTTTTCTTCTGCATTTTGCATAATACGCTATGTATACGGCTCCGTGTAGAAGCAAGCCTATGTTCTTCAGAAGAGAGATCTCTCTTCTCTACCAAAAATGTAAAGAGTAGCCCTATTGATATTGTACGCAGGCTCTGGCTCTTATACTGTTGATACTAGTCGTAATAATTATTCAATAGCACTATCAAGAATACGAATACGAATAGTCTTCATTCTACGAATAGTACGAAACTATCAATACGTCACATTAATAAGTTTCTTTGCAGAATGTGTAAAACCGCAGGGGCCGAGTTGCGCCGCTAAACCCCAAAAAGCGTACAGTCTACAAGCCTTGCAGAAGCGTACATAAGCCCCCCAAAGCCATTCATTGTTCCCGAAGTGATGCCTACAAGGCCCCACTCCATGCAGCCCATGGTCTGCCACGGAGAGCAGGGGCATCATGAAGCGGCGGTAGCTTGGCACACGGGAGCCTGCCAGCACCACCAGCTTCAGCTGCCTGTGACCACCGTCTGTGTGGTTTCCAAGGCAACTTCTTTAGCACACATGGAGACTGCGGAATTTTGCTGCCGACAATGTGGTTTTTGCACTGTTCAAGAAAGTCACAGCTGTTGGATACAAGAAGCGGCGTATCGTTTGGAACTCAGGGTTTATTTCAGGTCGGAAGGAAGCACATGGGAACATCGGGTCAAACTTTGGGTGCAGGAGGTTGAGAGCAAGGGTTCAGCCATGTTTAGCAGGCAGATTCTTCCATGGAACAAACGGGTACTGAAGTATTCTCTCTGTCGACACTTTTTTTGCTGATGCCTCCGGATTTGCGTTGTCAGCAAAGTCTTAGAATGGAAATAGGCTCTTCTGCAAATGCGTAGAGAAACCAGAAAACTCTGCTCAAGCTCACTCAACCGGGCGCATGATGGGGCACGTCAGAATCCACTCGATTGGCCTCGACTGGGCACCAGAATGCAATTCGGGTCTTCCTGTCATTTCCCATACCTATTTTCAACAAAAGAAACTGATAGCGGGATGAGCTGGGGGGCTTAGAGACGTGGATTACAGGTGCGCCCGAGCACGGAGATTTCAAAGAATCATTACGCCACTTGGCAAAAGCACCTTGCTTGATTTTGAAACCTACCCGTCTAGAACTGTTCTTGAAGCTCCGAGCCTTGACAGGTTCAGCGTAAAATTGTTCGATCGTCCAGGGAGGTCGAAATCATCAATTGCCGTGAGCTGTAGGATGTTAAAGAAACCAGAGAACAGGGCCACAGCTGTGCCTCTGCTGCTCGCATTGCTGGTATGTGGTAGTTTCCAAAAATAGGGAACCCCCAACAGACCCCAAAATATTATGATCCTTATGAGAGGGACCCAAAATGGTACCCCTCTCCCTTTCTTGGGAAACACCAGATATCTGTTTCTAAGGGGTGAGGGCAACCTGCGTTGCCGGGGTTCTGCATCACCAGTTTTTCTGGTTTTCAGGACTGATGGATACGCGCACAATAAGAGTAATGATATGAAAACAATAATGGCAATACTAGCAGTAATCGGGATAAGAACCATCCGGCTACAAGATGGCACCAGTTTTCAGAAATGACGTTTTGCCACTTAATTTGTTTGGGCTCTCATTTCTGACGGTACTATTGCTTCCATCTCTGCAGTTGCTGATTGTAAAGCCTTCATTCAGACCGTAAGTATTCACCCATCACTTTGCCCTGCTGTTTGGCAAAAATCAGTAGGCCATTGTCACTGCACAGGGTATTTCCATGACCAGTGATCAGTGGCCGGACACTGGAAATGTGGAATCCTTGCAAATGCTGGCCGAGCCCGGGAGGGGATTTTGTAATTACGGGTCGTAGGGGTAATGAGATGCTTGAAAGTATCAACAGATCCTGACAGCAAAATTCCCACGGATTCCGAATCATATCGTAAACAGGTCAACATGATTTTCAATCGATTTTCTGAACAGAAGCCTGGCAACTGATTGTGGCGCAAATGTTGTGGCGCTGCTCCAGAGGAGCTTTTTGCGCTACGGCCACCTCCCACATTGCTTGGAGTATAGGTTCGAGTGCGGGGCATCGAGTTTCTGAGCCAGGGTTTGCACTGGCTTGGATGCAGGTAGATCAATTTGTTGAGATTTAGAGCGCAGGGTGGCATAGCCATGTAAAGGATGCATCGATGTCCAACATTACTGTTTCTTCTGGTTTTCTAATTATCCTGTTGCTCTCTAAGCTGCGTGCTCATGCATAGGTGAGTTCATGATATCCTGGGCAGCTGTTCGATGCACAACCCACTTTGAAGCCCATGCGGAAGGCCACCCAAGATGTTGAATGCCACCAATGGCCTGTAAACGTCCGCAAAGAAGGACCCAGGAAGGGAGGCGAGAATGGTGTGACCATATCATAGCTGCAATACTCTGAGGAACGACACTGCTTCTGCAAAGACATTGGTCGACTGGTGTTGCTGCATGAGGTTTCACCATGCATCAGGACTGCGTCTGTGGAGGACGCAGCTACCTGGACACTGAAACCCTCCTTCGTACCGAGCACCACCAGTAATGAGGAACCGAAAGTTGCATCTGCAGGAAGGAAACTGGCTACTGGGCCTTGGAATTGTTCGCGAAAATCAGCCACATGGCAAGCATCATGAAGCCAACTCCCTGCACCTTCGCCGCTTGCGTGTGCTGCCATGAACCATGTCTTTTTGCAAACTTGGCCAGCGCCATCAAGAGTCCAGAATTATACCCACACTGCTGACTTCGGTTTTACCAGATCAAAACTTCAGCACGTGTAAGACAAGATGAGTGAGAGTCGTCTGCATGAAATAAGGCAGACAGCATGTTAGAACTTATGGCATGCTCTGGGCACGATTTGTGCAACGTTGTGGGCATCGGAGAGGTCGACGTTCTCTGAGCACGCAGTCTCTGTCTGAAGACGGCGGTTGAGGTCCTGAAGGCTGCCCAAAAGGCTATAGGAAATCCTGGGTTTGGACAGCAGTTGCGGTGCAAACCTTGCGGAATTTGAATGTGGTCCTGCTGTGAGTACCCAGGCTCCCGCTGCAGCTAAGCTTTACCCCTCCATTGCAGCATGCCCTTGTGCACCCAGTCCTCAGCCACCTCACTGATCGCATGCACTGCATCATAGAGCTTGTCCTCTTCTGGGAGAAGCTGTTGACTAAAAGCATGTTTCACCGTCAAGGACACATGCAAGTCTGGGGATCATTGACCTCATAAACAAACAGCAAGTGTCTCCTTGCCCTGCCACTACAATAGGCAGAAAATATGGCTGTATCAGCAGCAGCAGCAGCAGCAGCAGCAGCAGCAGAAGCAGCAGTGGGTAGAGGTAGCTTGAGCAGCATCAGGAATAACGCTGCCAGTGCGGCAGTCGCATGTGTGCTCCAGTTGTCATGGTAGCGGTGTGTGTAGCGGTGGCGGTAGCAGGGGCAGCGGCGGAGGTGGCACGGGCAGCCTCACAACAGTCATGTCCTGAGGCGTCAATGCCATAACGTCCATGGGGATCGGTCCAGGATTTTGGCTTCGCAAGGGGCACGCGGGATGATCTGGGCCAAGAGGTCTGGCTGCGCGTTGTCATGCCCTGTGCATCACGTGTTGTAGTAGGCAGCATACATAACCATACTTAACCATCTTCACTGCGCAAGCATATTCTTATCTGAACCAGACATGACACATGGCATGACCCTGAAATTTAGTCAACTCATGTAGAAATCTTAGGGAGGGAAGGTGTTGGATTAATGTCGAATCCCGATTAGTGCGGGGGTCCCTAATCCAGTAAAGTTTTCGACAAATATTTTGGACCCCCTATTCGATTTGGGGGGTCCCAAAAAAGTAAAGTTTTTTCAGCCGGAAAAAATTAAGTAGAGTTTTGATCAAATTCCTTTCTAATTGGTTCTGGAAAGATTTGTCTATGATTTCAATTAGATTGTGATTGCGTTTACTAGGCTTTCAAGACCAGGCCGTTTAACGCAAAGGCTGAAGACCCTGCCCTTCTTATTCTCTTGAAAGCTAGACCGAGCAAGCCCTTATGGATTCAATAGGAGCCGAAGGATCCCTCTTCCTTTATTGATTTTACTAGGAGCCATAGGATCCCCCAGACCCCCAATTCGTTTTGAGGCTTTTTTATTGTAGGGGCTCCCCTTTTTGTTTGGGGGAGAGGGGGGGGCCTAACGCTAATCAGGGATCCAACATTAAGGGTGGATCCTGCCGGGAGCTCCGAAACACTTTTCAAAGCTTTAGGAGGTACTAGAGGCTCTCAGTCCTTCTTTTTTGACAGCACTTACCAAGCTTGAAGTGCCCAGAGTGACATTCAGCGGCTCATTTGCCATGAGCTGCCGTTAGTTCTTGTAGGCTTTTGCAGGTGCGGGTTCGGGTCACATGGCTAAGTACAAGCTTACACGTGGAGAGTTACTTAGCAACTGCCGCATCTTCGTCTGGCAGGATCTAAAGTGGAAGCTAATTGATCAGGCCTTATCCTCTGTCAGAATCGTGCGCCTTGGACAGTCGACCTCTGGAAACACCACCCATTCCCACGTTCAACTCCGCAGGTGCAGAAACATACTACGGTATTCCTAATGACCGATTTGGCGATAACGATAATAGCTACTACACGAGAAATGAATAGTTGCCACAGCAAGCGATTCCCTCAACAATGATGCCAAACGCCCTGGCCAGTCACTCGCCTGCGGTGTGCAGCCAAGCCACCCGCTTTTGCTGGTGACCTTCAGGCATCTGCGGCCACGGTTTCTGTGTTTCTCATTATGGTTGCCAAGGTCTGCAACGTGTTTCTTTCCATCTCCCCACCCCACCACAGCCATCACGCAAGGCTGACAGGCGAGATTGCCTATTTCTATAGTTGCCTAACTTGCGGCTAGCAAGGAGAGAAGGCGTGGATTCATCTAGTCCCTCGTCCCTATACAACCCCCAATAATGTCGCAGGTTCTGTTTCTTGTTCGCTACTAACCTCAGGTAAGTTTAGTAACATGATCTGACAGTCAAGAGCTCTGGCCAGCTCCCACATGACCCACGGCTTGCAGAGCATCCAGACAGATGTATGCAAGCAGCGTCTACTAGACAGCAGACCCGAAGTATGGGCTGAGCAGATGGTAGCTGGCAACTAGGCAGCATGATGGCAGGTAAACTTTTTCCTCCACATGGGCCGTGGTACTAGTATAAGCAACTCTGAAGTGCAGCTTCTCAAGCCTGCAGATGTCAGACTGGATTGCCTGAATGTTTAACGCCCCTACTCCGATTGCTATATCTTGTCGAGGTTGAGCGTTGAATCATGTTGCAGCATGATGCACGTCGGATTTCAACAAGCGAGGTTGAGATCCGGCAGGCTGTGCACCAAAGAAACCCTTCATCAATAGTCCTGTTGTCTCTGAAGCAACGGTTGCTTAGGGGGGCTCTGTACGGAAAATTTAGCCGGTGGAAGAAGCCT